TGTGGAGGTCCTGTTGCTGCAGTGCTATGTCAGCAGCTGCAGCAGCAGCAGCAACAGGGAGAACTACACAAGCCTGCCCCCCTGTGGAAAACACCCATCTACTGAAGAATTAAAACCATTTTGAGCTTAACCGTAGTCCTTTATTTGTAACACCAGCTCAGGCAAAGGTGAATCCTGTAACATCATCATTCCAAACAACACCGTGTGGAGATCTGAGGCACAGGCGCCACCTACGTTCACTTACTCATTGCCTCTATCAGCACATGAACAATGTTGTCCGTGTCCTCCTCCAGCATCTGGTGAGGCTTCAGGGGCACAGGGAGGAACCCATAATGTTCTCTGTTGCAGATGTACATCTGAATGCCTGGGGACAGAAAGAGGGGAGGGCAGAAATGTGAGGTGGGCCCTCCTAATGAGGCAAGGGTGGTTGCCATGGGGATGGGCTGTGACCTCTTTCCGAGGGTGTTTGGGGCTGGTCTTGGAGGCAGAGCCTGCCGCCAGCTAATCCTTCCTAATCAGTACAACTCAAGAAGCAGCAGGCCCACTCCTACCGAGCTTGTTATCAGGGCTGAAGGTCACGGGGCAAGCCGGCCTCACTGTATACTAGGCACTCTATAGCTTCTTCTCCACAAACTGCTGATCTAGGTTTTCAAAAACAAGAGGAAGGGACTCCGAGGCAGCTGCTGTATGGAAACCTGCATGTGGAGGTCCTGTTGCTGCAGTGCTATGTCAGCAGCAGCAGCAGCAACAACGGTGGGAACTACACAAGCCTGCCCCCCTGTGGAAAACACCCATCTACTGAAGAATTTAAAACCATTTTGAGCTTAACCTTAGTCCTTTATTTGTAACACCAGCTCAGAAGCCACACAGGCAAAGGCGAATCATGTAACATCGTCATTCCAAACAACGTGTGGAGATCTGAGGCACAGGCGCCACCTACGTTCACTTACTCATTGCCTCTATCAGCACATGAACAATGTTGTCCGTGTCCTCCTCCAGCATCTGGTGAGGCTTCAGGGGCACAGGGAGGAACCCATAATGTTCTCTGTTGCAGATGTACATCTGAATGCCTGGGGACAGAAAGAGGGGAGGGCAGAAATGTGAGGTGGGCCCTCCTAATGAGGCAAGGGTGGTTGCCATGGGGATGGGCTGTGACCTCTTTCCGAGGGTGTTTGGGGCTGGTCTTGGAGGCAGAGCCTGCCGCCAGCTAATCCTTCCTAATCAGTACAACTCAAGAAGCAGCAGGCCCCCTCCTACCGAGCTTGTTATCAGGGCTGAAGGTCACGGGGCAAGCCGGCCTCACTGTATACTAGGCACTCTATAGCTTCTTCTCCACAAACTGCTGATCTAGGTTTTCAAAAACAAGAGGAAGGGACTCCGAGGCACTGGGGGAACTTTTGGGTGCCACTGAAAGGAAGCAAACCAGAGAGGTCCAGGAAAACCTGCCCAGTAAGAGTAAGAAAAGAATCAAGCAATGAAGTCTTAAAGGAGGACAAGGAGTTTTCCTGCTTTGTCGGGGCATTCTTTCTGTCAGCATCTTAGGGTTCCCTCTCAATTTGGCCTCGTGCTGGCTTAAGGAGCAAGCACTGAAAAATGGGCTGACGACAGGAGAGGCTCAAAAATGGTCCCCCAACCCCAAACCATTGTGTGGCTTCACCAGACTAAAGTCTAGAGCTCTAGAAAATGCTGCTAAGAAACTCCGCTCCCCCTACAGGTCTTGAAGGACATAGTAAGGAACTGAGGACCAAACGACATGTGATGTGAGTCTAGGGTTGCCAGTTCTGGATTGGGAAATAGGGCTGCCAAGCTGCGGCAGGGGATCCGCACGTCTTCACAGGATCCCTGCCGCGGGGGACAGCGATACACGTTACACCGCCGTCGCCAGGATGTGACGCTATGCGTCGCTCTGGCAACGGGGCTGTTTGGAGTCCCCTTGCCAAAGAGATGTGTAGCGTCACATCCTGGCGACGGCGGTGCAACGCGTATTGCTGTCCCCCGCGGCAGGGATCCTGTGAAGACGTGCGGATCCCCGGCCGCGGCTTGGCAGCCCTATTGGGAAATACCAGGAGATTTTGGGAGTGGAGCCTGGGGAAGGCAGGGTTTGGGGAGGGGAGGGACCTCATTGGTATATAATGCCATAGAGCCCACCCTCTAAAGCAGCCATTTTCTCCAGGGGAACTGATCTCTGTTGTCTGGGAATCAGTTGTAACAGTGGAAGATCTCCAGGCATTACCTGGAGTTTGGCAACCCTTGATGTGACATTGGCACTCATTCCAGCCTTGGAACTCTAACACATTCATTTGTCTTAAAAAAAAGAGAGAGAGCTGGTATAGGCAGTGCTTGGAGTTAAGGCTATCCAAAAGCAACTCTTGTGTCATAAGGAGAAATTAAACAGGTACACTTTCCTTATCACTGAGTGACTGCAAAGGGAAAAGCGGGACCTGTTGAATCCCTCCTTGCCATACAGCAATTTGAGGGACAACAATTCCTTTATCAGGGAAGGAGATGGCTTCGGTAAGCCTCTATTAGCCTGAACTGCTGCAAGAACAGATCTACACACATGTGAAAAATGCCTGCCCCATGATAGTACATTCATAGTTCTACTCTGAGATCCTGGATTGAGCTATTTACTCTGTAAAGTGATATATACAGTGATGCCACTATTCAAATCACTGCCATCTTTATTTCCAAGAATTTTGCATCGGACAATTATAAGCTTAAAATCATGACCATGAAAATCATTGTACTGAATGTACATAGCCAGAAAGTTACATGTTCTGCCTTGTGTGCTCCATTTTATTTTGCCATTAGAATGTCCAAGGTATTTCCCTGGAAGTTATTTATTTATTTATCCTTAAATTTATATCCCGCCCTCCCCGAAGGCTCAGGGTGGCTCACAAGGGGCACGGATGCTATATACCCATAGGAATGCCTAGCTTTTAAAACATAACCAAGGGAGCACTACTCAGCAGGCCTACTCAGAAGTAAGCCTCATTTTATTCATTGGGACTTACAGGAAAGTGTTTGTAGGACTGAAGCTTAATTTGTGTTGCGTAATCCTGAATAGGCACTCTTGGTTAAGAACACAGGAAGTATTTTATGGATTGTGTCAATATTCTTTGTACTTAATCCATCATTCATTGCAAAAATCCCACCAATCAGCAACTGGTCCACCAGAAGGTGGCCCATCAGCAGGCCCACAGATATGGAGGGGGCATTTGGAGGCAATACCTCATCAAAAATATGCTATGCAAAGTAAGTCTCGTAACTGTATTTATTGCAGAGATGCAAGGGAAAATGTACAGTCTTCTCTGATTGCAAGAGAAGGAATGGGGGAGTAGAACATTTACTCTGGTTTCATCCATCACCTTTTCTCCCTGGGTCAAAGTCAAAGATCTCCCTGGGTCCTTTACTTCTGTCTGCCATTGTGCACTGTCTCTTTAACAGGCTAACCCAGAAGGCTTCAGTGTAAGCAGGCCTTGTGTGAGAATGGGAGGAAAAAGAGTTTCGGTTATGTGGCTGGTAAATCCTTCAAACCCAAAAAAACCCCAATTCTGGGCCTAGGTGGGCAGGAGCCAGAAGAAGTCTTAGGTGAGTATTTTTTCCCTAGATTTCTCAGTGCTGGTTAAAATTAACTGTTATGTTAGAAGTAGTTGTTACTGCACTGTACCATAGTTTCTATTCCCCTTCAATGTTCACAGTGTCAAACGAGAAACTGCCAGAAAAACGGAATGAGATTTGTACTATTTGGGGATGTTTCATCTCTGTGCAATGAAAAAATTGTGTCAGGAATATGAGTGCCAGGGGGCAGGAGCAGAAAAGAAGATACCCATTTTCATTCAGGTTGGTTTCTGGTTTTAACAACTTATTGCAAACCACTTTGCTGTAACTTGCTAATGTAAAGGAACACATGCATTTGAGCATGTGCAGAATGCATTTTACTCCCTATCAAGCTTAACCCCCAATCCATTATTTGGACTAAGGAGACATAATAGGTAGGTTTAAACTCTAGAACCCCTCTCTAGCCATCTCTAGTAGAGTATACATAGTAGTACCCCCCCTGTGCAAACATACATTTAAGAAGTACAGACTTTCACCCCACACGTTATAGATGGATCAAGTGTATCCAAGGAATTGAGTTGTGGAGAGAACAAAGCAAATACCTAGATGCATTTTAAATACTCTCATCTTCAAATAAAACAGCTGTTTATATCCTAGGGCCTTATCAGCCATTAACCAGTGCCGAATCTGAGTTTGCAACTGAAACAACATTCCATAGGAAGCCATACCCTGTTTCATATATGGTTATAGTGTGTAAGATAAAGATATGCGTCTGTTTTACAAACAGAAGTTTGCATCCAGATGCAGCATTTGTGCCTGTTGCTTTAAAATATCTTAGGTACATAATTAAATTTATCCATTAGAAAATAGTTTTCTGACACAGACTGTGCCGTAGTTGCTGCAAAGTGACGGTGTTTAAAGTCGTAATAAGCAGAGCACTTGCTTTGGTGCAGAATATTTACAGTTTATTTTACAAACATTTACACAGTCCACAAACGTTCCGCATTTGGCTGAAAGCTGATGCAATTAGTTGTCACGTGACCTCAGAACTGTCAGGTTAGATCATTCTGATCTCATGACTAGCTGTCATCTTGTATGGCTGCATATGCCAACACAAAGACTGCCTTGGTGATGCACGGGAAGAAGACCACATCTTCTTCATTGGCGGAGGGGTTATTATAAACTCTGGTTTGGGAATGGATATTCTGGTGGACAAAGTAAGAAAAAGGAACAGTGTCTATTACAGTAAGAATACTGCAGATAAATGGAAGAAGAAAAACTGGGCTACACCCAGCAAAGTGCCAGCAGAATAAAAGGGAAACATTGCCAGGTGATAGGTGACTGGTTTATTATCGTACAAAGCCCCTACTCGGTTTGCCGTCCAGGCTTTGTCAGGGGGATCAGAGGATTCAGCCAGTGTTGGGCCTGTCCACAGCAATTAGTAAAAGAATTTAATTGCTGTGGCAGATAAATTTAATTGCTAGCAGATAAATGGAATCCATTTATTGTTTTTAATATAGACATAGTAATAATATGAATGGTATTAATTTGCCGCAATAAATATATATGCTGCCAATAATATATTGTATATATGCTGCTATGGCGATCTTGCCCTCTTCCCTTCCTCACATGCAGGATTTTCCTTTTGTCTTCTTTCTTCCTGAGCAGCCCCTTTATCTGTTTTCTTCTTATATGTTTGTCTATGCCTGTTCCACTCTTTATAATTAGGATGGATGGATGGATGGATGGATGGATGGAT